TAAAATGACATGAAGATTATAAGGTGTGACTGCTGGCTACTTGAGACTGAGAGGTCAGGAAAGACCTCTTGGATTAGGTGGTATTTGGATAGAAACCTGACAAGCGATCAGCCATGTGAAAATGTGGATCAGCAAACACTGATGGATATCAGCACTTGGGACTCCTCTTTATCTGGGAAGGGGTCAGTCATTTTTGATATTTAGAGCCAGAGGAAGGTACTTGAAAATCCCTTATTATACATCTCTCTCTCTCTAGTATTTTACCAGGGACCACAGAGTAATTGATATTTTAATATGTTCTGATAAGGTATCAATTTCAGATACTTTTGCTTCTTGAATATTTTACCAGCACCATGAGCAATGATATTAAAGCATCATGTAGGATCTCTTAACTCTCAGGCTCATCTCATGGTCAGTGGAACCCCTGCTATACCCTAAATTAACAGAGCCTTTAAAAATTATTTCAAAATAATCATAGATTCATAGAAAATGGCAAAAAAATAATTTACAGGGAGGTCCCATATACCTTTAACCCAGTTTCCTTCAATGGTAACGTCTTGCATAAATATAGTGCAATATCAGAACCAGGGAATAAAGATATGGGTATCATCCACGGAGCTTATTCAGATCTCACCAGTTTTATATACACTCATTTGTTTATGCGTATATAGTTTCATGCAATTTTATGTAACCAGTACCATCATCAAGATACAGAAGTGTTCTGTAAACACAAGGCTCCTTCCTGCTATCCATTTGTAGCCACACTCATCCCTCCACCCATACCTAACCTTTGACAACACTAATTTGTTTTCTATTTCTATAAATTTATTTTAAGAATGTTTTATATATCGAATCATACAGTTTTCCTTCAGCACGATGTCCTGAGATCCATTCAAGTTGTTGTATTTATTGATAGTTCATTCCTTTTCATTGCTAAGTAGTATTCCATGGTATGGTTGCACTACATACAGTTTGTTTCACCATTCATTTGTTGAAAAACATTTAGATTGTTTCCAGTTTTTGTCTATTCTGAGTAAAACTGCTATGAACATTCATTTAGAAGTTTTGTGTGAATACAGGTTTTCATTTTTCTGGGATTATGTCCAGGAGTACAATTGTTGGTTCATATGGTAGATGCGTGTTTAGGCTTTTTTCTTTTTCTGTTTTTTTTTAAAGACGCTGACAATCTGTTTTCCAGAGTAGCTGTATCATTTCACATTCCCATCACTAATGAATGAATGATCCAGTTTCTCTGCATTTTCACCAGCATTTGGTGTTGTCACGTTTTCTTTTTTTAGCCATTTTGAAAGGTATGTAGTGATATCTCATTTGCGGTTTTAATTTTCATTTTCTCAATGGCTGATACTATTGAATATATTTTCATGTGCTTATATACCATGTGTATACTCTTCAGGAAATTCTATTCATGTCTTTTGGCAAACTTTAAAAAGCTCACATGCACCTCTATATCAATTCTCCACTAAACTTGGGATCTTGTTCACAAACTTCAAGTAGCTCTAATTCTACAGAGAACAATTCATCCATTTGCACATATAGTTTTCCCAGAGAGTTATAAAATAATGTACAATAACATTTCTGATACATCCCTCTTCACCAGTTTAGAGGGATAAATCAAGTTTACATCGTCTTTTTTAATGCCCTAAGTGTACAGCATATAGTTGAAAGTAATGAAACTCAATTTCCATGGTTTAAAATCTCCACAATTGATTTGCTTCAGACTAAAAGCATTTCAATTAGTATGAATAAGATGTTTTATTTTACTTGGTTCATAGTAATCTTCTTACTTAAATAGGTTTCTTGTTTTGGGAAAAAGGTACATGTTTACTGTAAAAAAAAAAACAAACCAAAAAATTTGACAGAACAGAGAAAATACACATTACCAAAAGTCACCATCTAGAGATAATCATTAACATTTGGTGAGCATAGATCTAGATTTCTTTATATATATATATATTCTCTCCACACTTAAAACATGTCCATAAGTTATATAATCAGTATAATACTATTCTGGATCTTGTTTCTCATGAGTGTATATTATTGACTTCCTTCTATGTTAGTACAGATCTTCATTATCATTTTTAAAGCCAACATAATGACCCATTGTATGTGTGTGTTAGCCAATTTCTTTATTAATGGATATTTATTTCCAATTTTTTACACTTATAAACAATGCTTTAATGGATGTTCTTGTGGGGATAGCATCTAAAGTTTTATACTTTTCTTAAAGCAAATATTTAGAAGTGGGATTGCTAAGTTAAAAGCCTTATATATAGGGTATACACGCACACACATACAGTATGTATATATTATATACACATATTATACATATATATTTATCTATATCTGTTTGTAGATGTTTACAAACTGCCTTTTAGAAAGATTGTGTCATTCTACATTTTCACCTTTACAACTGGAATAAGGTTAAGTTTCTCAACCTTTTGCTTGAGTCTCCCAACAAATTTCTCTCTCTCTCTCTTTTAAAGTATTAAATTAAAACACATAAATCCAAGTAACATTTTAAAAATAATTTTTAAACCATTAACTGAGATAGGAGCTCAGGACTTTGTGAAGCTAGGTCAGTAAAAGTTGTCCTGTAAAATTGCCACCTTCTAGACCTGGTCCTCCAAGACACTTTCTGGGAATGTGGTCTGCTTTAATGGCTTTGTTACCTGACCATCTAGCGTGCTACCACAACGTAGACCTTGCATTGGGAATGATAAGGACAAACAGCAAGACACTGACATTTTCTTGTGGACACAGGAATTAAGATTAGGAGAAAAAAAATGTCCAAGTTTACTACCAGTATACCCAAACTTCAAAATGAAAAGCTGTGGCATGTAAATCAAGCATAAGACAGCAAGCCCTACTTGCAAAGTTAAAGATTTATTGTAAAGGTTGATGATGTTGTAGTTTGGGGCCATGCACATCCTTTTTTCTTTTTTTGTTTTTTTCATTTGATCAAACAATGAAGTATAGCATTTTAATTATGATCAGGAGCAAAAACACCTTACGCCAACATATTCCCATATTTGAATCTTGAACATTTTTTTGGTATTCCTTGGGTTAATTTTTCAAGGTCCAACAGATATTTGGTTTAATTTAATGAGCGTACTTATCTTTTACATAACTTCAATATGTTTTTGCTTACAAATTTCCTCAGATAGATTAAGCAACACAAGGACTGAATGCAAAATTGTATCTTTTAGTAATTAGGAAACATGTATTCAAGATATAGCACCTAACACTAGATAAGCATTCAGTTACAATATGCATCTTCTTATATATTTCTAACATTTTTCAGCAGCATTTTTTTTCACTGATCTCTTTAGTCATTAAATGCTTACACTTTTATAAGCACATTCCCTTCTCCTCCGATTTTCTGGGATTGTAGAAAACTAGTATAAAGTGTTTGCAAGATAACTCAAAGATGTAGTTTTGGAATGAGTTCTGGAAGTTCTTGTACTTTAAATTTACATGAATAATAGAATCATTAATAATAGTGCAGCAGCAAAATACCTCATTATATAAGGTTTTTCTCTTTTTTTTGGACATTTTAGCCTATATTAGTTTCTCTGTACCGGTATTTGGAGGTAGATTTCCAATGTATTTACCCAAATACAAGAGAAGAAGGTAGGGTGGTGCAATGGAGTCACTCAGAAGTGCCAGGTCCTTGCTCTGTTTCTGCAAAACATTAGTTGTGTCACCTTGGACGAATCCCTAACATCTCAGCTTCAATATCTTTATGACCAAGAAGTTGAATCGGTGGCCTAATAAAAGTTCTTCAAATATGAAATCACATGAACATAATTTATAAAGTCACATAAAATAAGATTTTACATTGTTTTGCTAGGCAATTCTATTTGCAAAGGCAAACCTTAAAGAATTTGGGTGCCTATGCAAAAAAAAAGTACTAAAATGATACAGGAATTTGCAGTCATCAGACATTATTTTCGGTGCAAAGAGAAAAAGTTCAAAGTACACCACTACTTCTTAAATCCTTAAGAGGGTGATTAATTATAACTCTTCAAACTTCACATCCAATGCATCTTTGACCTCAGGTCGACGCTACTTCTGCTTAAGACCAAACTTGGGGTGGGAATGGGGCTGAAAGAGCTCTAATTTTTATTTATTTATTTCGTCAGTCATTTTATGAAAGCTCAAGTATTGAGAGTCTAGGTCCCATAGTATTTCTTGGAAGGCTCTCAGCAGTTTCCTGACTGGCTGACTTTCTCTCAATCTAAAGGAATTCTCTATGGGATGAAAGGCAGCCGGCTCCGCTTTTCTTTTTTTTTGACCAGAAATAGAATGTCATTTCAGATGCAGGTAAGGGGGCGTGGAATTCCAACCCCGGTGTATTCTTCAGTCCCGCCCCCCGCCGCGATATGCAGCAGGGGAACCTAAGTGTCCCACCGCGCGTCTTCGCCACGCGTTGGGAGAACCGGGTGAGGCAATTAACAGGCGTTCAGACATTCAGGCTGGTGGGACCCCGGAAGCCAGCAACGCCATGGGACCTGCTTCCGAACCTGTAATAATGGGAGAAGGGACATGTGCTCTCCGGGACACGCCCCCGTGACGAATCCAGCCTAAGAGCGAAAGCGCTGGAATCCACCCACAACTTATTCAAGTGCAAGACCTCCGAGCCCGCGTATTTGGGGGTGCAGTGGGTACGGGGGGGGGAGTTCGTCTCCACGATAAGGGGAGGCCTTTCCCTGCAGGGCGTAACCGCCACGCCCAGCCTTCTGCGCCGGCCTTGACACTGATCTCCAGGTGGGGGCGGGGCCGGAAAAAATCTGGCAACTCCGGACACTGCTTCCGTTGCCAGGTGATGGGGGAGGACGCTGGGTCCACGAGAAAAAGGAGCCCGGCTCAGTCGCGCAGGGGCGCACGTCAGAGAAGCAGCTGCGCAGCCGCCCTGGCTCCTTTTCGGGCCGGCACCGCCCTCTGGGCCCGCCCTCCGGCCCGAGCTGCGCACGCGTCGCGCGAGCGGCTGCCTCTGCCCCTCGCCGGGCTGGAGGCGGGGCTGCGCGTCCTGTACGGGTTGCGCTGTAGTAGGAGCTTCCCAGCAGCCGGTGAACCGAGCAGTCTCGAGGGAGGGGCGCGGAGGGCTGGCGCCAGAAGAAGGCGCGCTGGGGACAGCCTCGTGTCCACCGCTGCGGAAGAAAATGGTGTTCGAGTCGCTGGTTGTGGATGTGTTGAACCGGTTCTTGGGGGACTATGTGGTGAACCTGGACACGTCCCAGCTCTCTCTGGGCATCTGGGGAGGTAACGAGACCACCGCCGCCCCTCAATCTCGCCTCCCTCCCGGCCACTCTTTGCTGGAGCCGGGCCCTGCCTTGGGGCCTCGGGCCCTTCGCTTGCTTTTTGTTGCCACCTGCCGCCGCCCTCCTCGGGGTCAAATTACGTAAAGCCGGGGCTGTAGTTCCGGGACCTCATCCCGCGAGTTCATGTTTTGGCAGGAGGGGATGGGGTCGTGGGTGCTGGGTGAAAAGGCCCCCTTTTCCCAAGCCGAGCGGCTGGGTCTGGAGTTCACATTCCGCCAAGGCGTCCTTTTTTTGCCCCTCGCGGTCGGGCTCCAGCTGTGCTGGGCTAAAGGAGGCAACGAGACGCACCTGGGGTTGGTCTCATCCTTGTCATTTCCCCCCCGCGGGTTATGACGGAGGCCGCGGGGAGCCCATGGAGTGCCGCACGCTGCCTCGCACGTGAAGGCAAGACGCTGGGACCGAAGACGCCCTCTTCCTTTCCCAGTCTCCGTCTGTGGCTAAACCGTGGTGTTTTCTCGGGCTACATCACCTGGATTCCGGGTTACTTGCTTGGATCCCGCTGATAACAAAAAACGAAACTCCTGTGCATAACTTAACGGTTGGCTGTGTGTTTTCAATTCACAGCCTGACCCAGGAACGTGTGACGTTTGTAAGGCTTCGGGGATTTGTGGTTCAGAGTGAACTGCTGAATTTTTTAACAAACTAAGTGCAGCCGTGTAACATCTCAGACCTGCAAGAGACAGGGATGAACATGCACTTAACGTTGCCTAGATAGTGAAGGACCGAAGCTTTACTTTGTATCCGTTCACTCTGGTGCTCTACCTTATTTGGAGCCTCATGTTTAGTGCTTCCATCCGTTTTGTGTTATACCCTTTCTAAAAATGTAAACACCCATTAGAAATTAGACTCCTTTTCTTTATGAAATCCGAAGTTAGGGTTAATTTTTTGTGTGCGTAGTATATTGTTTGCTTTTTAAAAATAATTCTATTCTTGAATATGCACACACTTTCAGGCTTTTTCTAAAAGACTTGTTGGGCTTGATTTTTCTTCTTTATGAGATAGTGTAAATAGGTAATTTAGTTTGATGAAGACCTCTTGTTACTACTCTTGGTACCTAGTAACATATTAAGGACTACGAGAACTAGGGACAGAAGTGCTAGCTCAGAATCTCTGATTAGTAGCAGAAACTTGCATATTGTTTAATCTGTGCTGCTTCTCATTTGCAAAGTAGAACTAATAAAACTTTTCTCCATCTACCTCAGAAAGAAGCTTTGAGAACATTTTTCGGTGTGCTTTGATCTATAGTGGAAAGTTGCTTCTACATATAAAGTGGAGATTTGTGTGTAGTGTGGTTTAGCTAATGATTTATTTAATGTTGACGCACAGTAAAATTCACTCTTGTGATGTACAGTTCTGTATTGATGAATGCAAAGAGGCATTTACCCACCATCACAGATGTGATCCAGAAAAGTTCCAACCAGCCCTCCAAATTTCCTGTGCTGCCCTTTTGCAATCTTACCCCACCTAACCCTCACCCCTCCTCCTGGGAACCACTGATCTGTTTCCATGCCTACAGTTTTGCTGTTTTAGAGTGCCATATAAATGGAATTACACGGTATGTAGCTTTTGGGATTTGGCTTTTTACTTAATTTCACTTCTTATATAAAATGAATTTGAGTCACCCATGTGTTGCATTCTTATATCTTTTTAGTAGTATTTCATTGTATGAATGTGCTGTAAATATTGATCTGTTCACGGGTTGAAGGACATTTCAGTTTTGGGCGATTATGAAGAGCTGCTATAAATATTCATGTACTGGTTTTGGTGTGAACATAAATTTTTTTTTCTCTTGGGTAAATAACTAAGAGTGAGATAGTGAGACAAGTGAATATTTAATGTATGTGAAACTATGGAACTGCTTTTCAAAGTGGTACCATTTTGCGATCTTATTAGCATTTGTATGAGTGCTTAGTTGCTCTGCACCCTCACTAGCACTAGTATTGTCATTTAAGAAACATTTTTAAGCCATTCTAATAGGTATATAGTTATAGAGCTTTGTGGTTTTAATTTGCATTTCCTTAGTGATTAAGGATGTTGAGCTTTTTGTTGTTTACTGTTTGTATATTTCCATTGTTGAAGTGTGTTAAAATATTTTGCACATTTTAAATTGTTTTTTTCCTTTTCTATTGAGATTTAATTCATATCATTAAATTCACCCCTTTAAAATGTACAGCATGTGAAACTGTCACTACTACCTAATTCCAGAACATTTTTCAACACCCTAAAATAAACCTCATACCTATTAGCAGCTACTCCATATTCTGTCAGTCACCCTCCATCCCACTTCTGGCAACCACTAATCTACTTTTTGTCTATAAATTCTGCAGTTAATGGACATTTCATTTAAATACAGTCATATGCTATACATTGCTTTTTGTCTCTGGCTTCTTTCACTTTTATTTTCAAGTTTCATCCATGTTGCAGCATGTTATCAGTCAGTATTCATTCCTTTTTATGACAGGATACTATTCCACTGTATGGATACATTACAATTTGTTTATTTTTTCATCAGTTGATGGACATTTAAGTTATCTCTACTTTTTGACTTTTATGAGTAATGCTGCTGTGAACATTCATGTACAAGTTTTTTGTGGGCATATGTTTTAAATTCTTTTGGGTATATACATAGAAGTGGAATTTCTTAGTTGTATGGTAACTGACCTTTTAAGGAACTGCCAGACTTTTTTTCAAAAAGTGTTTGTTTTATTATTGTCCAGTGTTGAGAGTTCTTTAAATATTATGAATACAAGTCCTATGACAGATCTGTAATTCGAAAATATTTTCTCCCACTGTTTTTCAAGTTTGTCTTTGCAAAGCAAAGTTTTAAATTTTGATCAAGTCCAATTTATCAAAAATTCTTTATGAGTCATGCTTTTGGTGTTATATCTATGAAATCTTTGCCTAACCTGAAGTCACAAAGATTTTTCTCCTACGTTTTCTTCTAAACGCTTTATAATTTTTATATTTAGATTTCTGATCTAATTTGTATCAGGTGTGTTATAGGTTGAAGATTGAGGTTAATTTGTTTGCATGTGGATGCAGATGTCTAATTGTTCTAGCACTATTCACTAAAGAGAATATGGTTTCTCCATTCAATATCTTAGCACTTTTGTAAAAAATCGGTGAACTTCATATTTGTGCATTTATTTTTGGATTCTAATCTGTTTCAGTGATCTGTGTGTCCAGTGGCCGCTTACTGTATACCCCCAGTATACCAGTGGCGCTGTAGGGAGATGAAGATTCAGTTCCTGATTTTGAGGAGTCATTCTCTGATAGGAATATACTGGGGAACCTCACAAATGGTTTTTGTAATCTAGTGGTAATTTTTACCACTTCTAATTTTTTTAAATATTATTTTTACCTTTATGTTCCAAGGTACTTTCATAGAACTTTAGAGTTGAAAGGGAATATTTTATTATGAAAAGCGTTCAAACATAACATCAATTTTATAAGATTTTACAGCCCACGATTATACCCACAATCTAGATTCTACCATTAATTATATATTAATAGCTTTATTGATTTAAAATTGACATATAGTAAATGTACATAAAATCTACAGTTTGATAAATATTGACATATGTGTGCACCTGGGAAACGGTCATCATGGTCAAGATGTGAATATGTCCATCATACCCAAAACTTTCCTTGCCTCCATCCTCAGAGGCATCCAATATTCTGATTTTTTTCCTACAATACATAACTCTCTTCTTGGTTTGTTGTGTTTTTTTCTTTTAAGATTGATTTTTCTACGTCTGTTGATATGATCATACTATTTTTCTTTTTCAGTCGTTGATGTAAGGGATTACATGAATAGGGTTTTGAATGTTGAATGAGCCTTTCTTACCAGGAATAAATCCCACTTGCTTGTGGAATATAATTATTTTTATATGTTGTTAGATTCAATTTGCTGATGTTTTGTCGAGAATTTTGGCATCTGTGTTCATATGAAAGATTGGTCTATTTTTTCTTTTTTGTAATGTCCTTGTCTGGTTTTGGCATAAGGGTGATGCTGATCTCATTCATGAGGTAGAAAGTGTTCCTTCTGCTTCTTAAGGGATTGGTATCAGTTTTCTCCCCCCAATGTTTGGTAGAACATTATTGAAACCATCAGGGGGTTTTATCTGGGCATTATGCTTTTAGTTTTGAAAGATTGTTAATTATTGATTAAATTTCATTAATAGATATAGGCTTATTTAGATTATCTGTCGTTTTTTTCTTGTGTGATTTTTGGTAAAATGTATCTTTCAAGGAATTGGTACATTTCATCTAAGTAACAACATTTGTGGGCATGTTTATATATTCCTTTATTATTCTTGTAATGTCCATGGGACCAATAATGATGGCCCTTCCTCTTATTTCTGATATTAGTAAATTGTATCTTTTTAAAATTTCTTTCTTAGTTGACCTGGTTAGTGAGTTATCAATTTTATTGATCTTTTCAAAGAACCAGCTTTGGATTTCAAAATTGATTTTTCTATATTGATTTTCTATATTGAATTTCAGTGATTTCTGTTCTAATTCTTATTGCAGTAAAACCTTGGATTGTGAGTAACTTGGTTTGCGAGTGTTCCGCAAGACGAACAAACATTTTTATTAGGTTGGTGAAAAAGTAATAGCGGTTTGTCCTATTACTTTTTCAACAACCTAATAATACATTTTAACTTGATAAATGAGCAGTGTCTTGCAATACGAGTAGTTTGTTTCAGGAATGAATTATGCTCGCAAACTGAGGTATTACTGTATTTCTTTTGTTCTGCTTACTTAGGATTTAATTTCCTCTCTCCCCCTCCAGAATTCTAAGGTGGAGGCTTTGATTATTGATTTTAGATCTTCTTTTCTAATACATACATTCAATGATATAAATTTTCCTCTAAGCCCTGCTTTTGCCACATGTCACAAATTTTGATAAGTTGTGTTTTTATTTGATTTAAAATATTT